ATGCCTACATTTCTTTAAAGAGGTATCACTAGTGATACAAGGTACATTATGCATTAGTGACAATCACACAATTAGGCTTGGCTTTGTCAAAAGAATACCTAGTTTGGTGAAGTCTGCACAATTAGGATTGTTTTCAGAAAGATCCTATTTTATTTTTTTACATAACATGATTCTGTAACATATTTTTGCAAGCATTTCTTTTTCAGGTCTAACACAAATAACATTTCAAACAGTTTTAAATTTCATGAAGTTGAGTTTTGACTATTCTGCAAAGTGAGCTGTTGATTTTCCTGCAGTAGTTAAGAGGAGCTCTCTGAACTGGAGAATAAAGGCATTTTGTGGGAGGCCTGTTAGCATCATCTGAAGTTTTCTGTCTTCCTCATTTACTTCCTTTTCAGGGTTTCCTTTATTCTTGATTTTTCTTATTCCAACCTCGCAAATGCTCTCACAGAGTAAAATGTACCTGTGTTTTACAAGGGGAATTCTTTCTTTAAAGATCTGACACAGATGAGTGAGCATCACCCAGATTTGTCTCCTGCTTTCATGTACTTTCCTGATGGGTCACTGGAGGCTGACCTCACTTATGCTGGCCACTCATGCTTTTAAAAAAAACTAAATGGAGGAATCTGAGGCAGTAGCATATTCTCCAGGGGACTGGTATGACTCGGAGGATGAAATGAGATTTGGGTACGAGGTTGTGGCTTTCTTTAAACACCGTATCTAGGCATAAAATAGTTCTAGCAATCAGGATTTAAGAACAATTCACTTAAGAGAACAGTAAAGAACAAAAAACTTCTAGAGGCTTAATGTAAGCAGATTAGCCAAACATTTTGTAGACATTTTCCCCTTTTTCAAGCACCGTCTGTTAATTCTGGCTGAACTCCTTTGTGTAGTAACCTCCCAAGCCAGGCCTGTATTTGAGGCTAGTTGTGAATCTGCTTCAGATTATGGTGAGGAAGCATTCCCACTTATTCAGACTTGCATTTTCAATATTCAACTGAAACCTCTCGTGTTTCAGTTTGCATCCATTGCCCCTAGTCCTGTCGCTGGACACCACTGCAAACAGACTGCTTCCGTCCTCTTGACTTCCGCCCTTAAGATATTTGTATGCATTGATAAGATCCCCTCTCAGTCTTCTCTTCTTCAGGCTGAACAAGCCCAAAGGTAATGGTCTTGACTGTTGTGTTTGATACGTCAGGCAGTGCAACGCAACATGAAGCAATAAAATGTGAGGTTCACTATGATGGAGATCCGTGATGAAAACTCAGATTTTTATTTTTTTTTTTTTTTTTAATTAGATTGTGGTTTTGCACATAGTACAACACAATGTAAAATGATTATTATAGAACCATTGGTTGGAAAAGACCTTTAAGATCATAAAGTCCAGCTGTTAAGCTAACACATTAGTGTGACAATGCAGCATATTAAGCAAATTTATAGCTTTTTTTGTCCAATGTTGCAGAGGTTTCTGCAACACTGGAAGACAGCATTTCTGAACCGATGCTGTGAGACCAGATGCTGGCAGTAAGTTGCTGATGTGGAGCAGTCTCTCCTGGCTTAGTGAAGTTCTTGTTCTTACTGCCTGAAGACATCTGACTGATGGTGAAAACTCTCTATAGTTTTATAATTGTTACCCCTTAGAAGTTGGTGACCTCCTATACTCGTGTCAAGATGCACACGGACTGCTGTTTTTTCTTATGAGCCTCTAGGGAGTGGGTTATCATGAATAATAATAAATGTAATATTCCAACCAAGAACTGCTTGTTGGTCAGTATTTAACTTCTGATATTCTCCTTATAATATTACTTTAGAGGATTTTCTTAGATGGTTGTGAAATGGAAGTGGAAAAGGAGAAGGTAATCTTCCTTTAACTTGCAATGATGTTGTGCAAGCTGAGCTACTTCAGAAAATCTGTGTGCTTATTTCTGAGAAGCAGCTGGTAAAATTCCAGGCTGAGCGAGTGGATAGAGAGCAGACATCACTGCCAGTGTATTTATTGCAAAGTTGTGTCTCTGGCCTGGTGTGGTCTTTAGCTCTGAACATCTCTGGCCCTGTAATGTTGTTGTCTTGTCTCTGGTGCCAGCTTCAAAACTGTAACTGCCCAGTTTGTCCACCTAAGTCTCCCACCTAGTAATTTTGCTTCACTTAATTGGTAGAACAGAGTAAAAGTTCTCTATATTTGACTCCTATTTACTTTAATTATAGTAAATTTTGTCAGAAATAAAACACTGCTGTGTTTCATATGTTATGAAGCTCATCACCATGAGCTTCATATTCTTCTGTGGATGTAAGTCATTGTTCTCCATATCAACTGTGAAGTTGAATGAAGCCTTTTGAAGTCTGCACCTGTGTTAGTGCTGGAATTAGGAACCAAGATGTTGCCTTGAGAATTGGAAGCACAACGTGGTTTTCATCTGCAAGATGTGACTGTTTACAGCATCTGTGAAAGCTGTTAGATTTGGTTATGAACCGTGATCTTTTTGAGCCCAGATCTATATACCTTAACCAAGCAGTGCTGCTCTTGAAGTTTGCCTTTTCTGTGTTTATCATCTTTGTGTCTTAAGCCCTTGGTGTTTATGACACAGGAATTACTTTAGCTCTTCAGGGAGTCCTTAACTGTCGAGTCAGCAGTGCTGAAGAGACGTTGTGGACATGGGGCGATAACCTTTGTAAAGGATGGGGGTTGCTGTCTTAATTTCAGTTCCTTAAGGTTTCTTTGCTTGCAGCTACGTTCTGTTTGCTCTACTTGTGCATGCTATGTACTTTTAACAGTTGATTCAGTAATGAATGCCATTTGCATTGTTGTTCTGGGGTATTTTTGTATCATCTCTGTGCCTTTGGTCGGTGCGCCAGGTCATCTTCAGAAGTGCTAGCATAGCAGGCCAGGTAGGCACTGCTTCTCCAGAATACCATTACCCTGAGTTATTCCTTCATGTAGTAACTGGAGGGATAATATTCCCAAGTTCCATCTCCAAAATATGAGCGTGTAGCAGGTATAAACATGCCTCTTATGATCCAGTAAATATGAAGAGCTCCAAGCTGGCTGTTTGTCCTGACACAGCTATTACTGCTACTGGCTTTGGCTAGTCATATAATTTTGTAATGCTGTTGTGGCTGGCTGGCTTACCTCCATAACCAAAATGAAGGTAAATTATAGCATTCAGCACAGAAATGGATCAGAAGTTAACAATGCTTGTGTTTATAATGCAGCTTGAAATTTATCATAGAATCATAGAATGGTTTGGGTTGGAAAGGACCTTAAAGATCATCGAGTTCCAACCCCGCTGCCATGGGCAGGGACACCTTCCACTAGACCAGGTTGTCAAAGCCCCATCCAACTGGGCTTTGAACACTTCCAGGGATGGGGCATCCACAACTTCTCTGGGCAACCCGTTCCAGTGCCTCACCACCCTCATAGTGGAGAATTTCTTCCTTAGATCTAATCTAAATCTACCCTCTTGAGTTTAAAGCCATCACCCTTTGCCCTATCACTCCATGCTGTTGTAAAAAGTACTTCTCCAGCTTTCTTGCAGGCCCCTTTCAGGAACTGGAAGGCTGTTGTAAGGTGTCCTCAGAGCCTTCTCTTCTCTAGGCTGAACAACCCCAACTCTCTCTGCCTGTGTTCATAGGAGAGGTGCTCCAGCCCTCAGATCATCTTCATGGCTCTCTTCTGGACCTGCCCTAACAGGTCCATGTCCTTCTTATGCTGGGGGCCTCAGAGCTGAACACAGTACTCCAAGTAGGGTCTTATATTTGAGATGTCGTGGTAATAGTATGTCTTACTGTTCTAGCTTGTTTGTGCTTATCCTAGGATCTAGAGATTCAATAACACCAGTGTTTGGTATTGCACTAAAAGAAAATTGAGGCAGGAGGCTTTTAAAATGGAAAGTATTTAATAATTAACATTGGAATGGAGGTAGATTGTGGCTCTGGTGGGAACTTTGTTGATTCTTTTGCTCATCATTATAGTGGTCATGGGTACAGCTCCTTGGGGAGATAGCAATTTTTTGATTTTTTTTTTTTTTTTTTTTTCTTCATGGTAAGCTAGGAATAGCTGTGTCCTTGAAGCACATCTTGAGTCTGTATATCTGTAGAAAATATTTCCCTAAAGCTTTTAGATCTTTGGTTCAGCAACAAGAAAATACAGCTGCAGAGAAGGAACCCCTTAAGTTTGGGTTTATTAAATCTGTAAGACTGGAGGGATGGAGAGGCAGACCAGATGAACGTGCAAGGGATTTGGCTGTAACAAGGCCCTGGCAGCAGTCACAGCTTTCTTGTTCTCCTTCAGCTGTCCTTTGTGAACAGATGAGAGGGGCATGGCTTTTAGGTACGGATGGAAAAGCAGCGTCTCACTTCTTGTTTTAAACTGTTTCCCCATGACTATTGAATCAAGTGCTGTTTAGCCTTGAGTCACTCAGCCTTATTCACAGTGGAATTTACTGAGGCAAATAGCTACGACACGCTGCTGCTATTTATAACGTTATCTCATTGTCTGTGGGTTACATGAAGCCATGCGGTATGAAGATATGAAGGACATGGGTGCAGGGAGACCCTTTAGAGTGTGCAGCATTTCAAAACTTTGCATTTATTACTCCAGCATAACAGCAGGTGCAGTTCCCCTTCCAGATTGCTGCCTGATGTCCAGGGTTGATGGTAGGCAGTGAAGTGGTGACTTGGAGGATCTTTAAGTAATTTTGTCAAGGCTGAGATACTAATATCTTGAGGTAAAAAGACTGTTTCCCTCCACTTTCTGTAAACCTCAAAATTGGGGAGAAAGGTAAGGGGTTATCCAGAAACGATGTTAGACTGTGACCTTTGGAAGTAGACCTTCACCAGATAATTCTTCATGTGAATGTTTTTCAGTAAATTGTAAGGTGAAAGGGTTCAAATATTCATCTAGCTCATGGTACCAAGCTCCTGAGAGCTTCCACAGGGTGTGGAAGAGGGTCCTCAAAATTAAGTAGTCTTTTTTTTTTTTTCTTTTAAACCACCTTTGGGAGTATTATGATGGACTTCCATCATCCAAATAAGTTCCCAGAAACCCAAAATGGAGTGGTGCTGGAGATGGAATCTAATGCAGGTAAGTATCTGACTTGTCCTGAGAAAAGTGTGTAGAGCTTTCTCTTTTGCTTTAAGGCTTTTTCTTTAATTTAGATAAGAGCTCCTTTGTGGCTTCTCCTACCTCTGCTCTGCCTGACATAAGTCAAGCCAGACATGCATAGCCACTCTTGTATCCAGAATTCCTCCAGGCTTTGCTCTGTTCAGGATGTATCAGCTTAGCTGTGTATCAGCAGAGCACGTGGGTGGTAAAATTGGTGAGTCCAGTGGTTTTGGCTGCAACTTCTCTGAGTCTGCTGAAGATCCTAGACAAACACATCTTCTTTCTATCTGGACAGGTTTTCTAAGGTAGATAAACATGGCATGTATCTGTGGTGCTGTTCGAGCATCAAAATAGCCTGTTTTGGGGATCTTCTTCCTGAAACATCCTAGTGGTGACCTTCTTGGGAGCTGCTTCTTTTCAAACACCCTGAACCTTATACGAGGAACCATTAGTTAAAACTGTCACATCAGCTATCCTTTTGACCTGGAAAAGTTGAAGTTCTCAAAAAAGTGTTATATGTAATTGTAAATATGTCCATGGCCAGGATATCCCATCGCTGTTGATACAGCTGTTACTGAAACCTTTTGTAAAAGCAGATATGAAATCAGTATCTACAAGATGCCTTCATCTCGGAAGCAAACAAAGCTTATTTCTGGATATCAGTCTTTTGAATTGGCTCCAAAATACTGGAAAGGGTTGGGAATGGGGGAATTCCCAACCACGTAAGTTTCACTGGAAAAAGAAACAGAAGAAATACCTTAAGAAACCAGTCTGTCTTATGCTAGCAAGCATGACTATTAATTACGTCAGCGTGATGGTGTTTTCCACATATTAGCAAAAAAAAAAAAAGTCACAATTTGAGAGGCCTGGTGGAAGCCAGCATCATGAATAGGGGAATGCCTTTCAAACAACTCCTCTATTGGAAAGCAGTGGAAGAATATATACTTTTGTTTGGCTACGTTCCTAGAAAATGCAGGCTTTGTTGGTGAAGACGTAGCAGGGATGACCTTAGCACTGGCTTTAAATATGCTATGAGGATTTAATCCATTGTATTCTTTGGAAGTATGTACTGATGCGTGTGGATGTGCACACACAACTCTGTGTATAAGCCCTCTGACAGTATCAGAGGTGTAGTTTGAGGGTAAATCGAAAGAACAGGAAAACTTGTTTTCTTTCTTTCAGTGAGGCTGCAAATGCAAGATATCTGGCCTGAGAATTCAAGGTCCAAGGGAGGCCTTAGACTTCATTCCTTCCCACTTTGTGGATATGCTCGCTGGTAACTGGCTGAAATTTGCAGAGCAGCTGGAGTAGGTGGTGTTTAAAAAACCAAAATTTATCTAACGATGTTTTTTCTGTCACTTCGTAATTTTAATGTTTTTCAATTTAGAACATATGAACTCTGAATGCCTTTTCTTGACTCTGTCTTCCAGCCTAGGTGGTGGGAAGCCAGTAGTTTTGTGGCCCCGAGAAGTCATCAGATGCTTCCTTTTCCTTCTGTTACTGGTTGTGGGAGAGGGTGACTATATTTAACTGCTCCAACAACCAAAAGCAATTAATGCTGTAAAGTGAAGAATATCTGACTTCAACTGTTGTAAAATTCTGCAGCTAATAATCTGAGAGAGGGGAAGAGGGAAATTCTGTTTGTTTTACATATTGGGATGTGAACCCTATGTGAGTGGGGGGGAAAGGACATCTAATAGAAACGCAGTGAACCATTCATGGTAGTAGAAATAATTTTGGGAAGGGTTGGGCAGAGGTGTGAGTAGCTCATTGTGTTGTCCTTTGCAGCCATAAATTACAAACGTCTTTCAGAGAGGCTGTCTTTTCACCTGAATGCTTGCAGGAATGTGATCTGTTGGGACAGCAATCTTGTTGGAGTTGACATCAGAGCAAAAAATCTTTTTACCCTTGAAAAGTGTGCTAAGTGTTTGGATTTCCCCTTTTGCAGTAAAGAATTGAGTTAATGCCTTGGCTTTCTCACTTTACTTTTGTTTTTGCAAGCGAAATGTGAAAGCATTTGCTATACACTTCCTGTTACCAGTCCTTAAGGAAGAGGAGGTAGGAAATCTTTTAATGGCAGCTGGATTCCAGGCACAGGTAGATTGTGAGGATGACATTTGTGTGGGTTGAAGTTGCAATTTATTTTTCCTTTTTTGATGTGTCTTTTGTTATGGATCTGCTCTCATCTCCCTGGAAACCGAGGAATTAGAACAGCAGTCAGAAAAGTAAGAGAGGAGCAGATTTTGGGAAAAGGAGAAGCTTATTTGGAGGCTGGGAAAGCTACCTGACCATATAGCTAGTATACACCTGAGAAGGAAAATACTTTATTGGCACTAACCACGCATTAAATGCAGCACTTGCTGCTGCATTTTTTCATCTCTGAGATCATGGTAAAATTCTTCACCTTGAGCTTTACAGCTAGATGATTGCAGAGTTCTGCGTTGCCTCCCACCCGTGCGAGAGCCTGCCTCTGTCTGCCATGTCCTTGAATTCTCCTTGCTGTCTGAATACTCCAGCAACTCTTTACTGAAAGATCGAGGCTTATTGCACTTGAGATGTGAAAATGCATGTTCCGTGGGGACATTTAATGTTGTGCTGTATCAGTTATTTGAATACATAATTTTTAAATAACTCTGAATGTTGTTCTTTTTATATGCCAGATGAAGCTGTTTCAGAAAAGACACGAACTCCACTTGGAGGTATAATGGCAGACTTGGGAGGATGCTATGGCTTTGTAATGCATAAGCACTTTGTATTGACGTGCTGAATGTTCAAGGTGTGTGTGTGTATGGGGAGTCTGTGAATAATTAACAAAATCTGTGTGTTTCACTTTGTTTTAATTGACTAAACGTGAGGATTCAAAGCGAGTTCAGCATTCTGTCTGCTTGCTTTACATTGATTTATTGTTTTGATTATTAATCTTACTAAGCTGAATTTTATGCAAGTTGTCTCTCGCATCCCCATGAAAGAACAAAATGTTGCTATAATAGCTACCCAACTGTGGGATTTAAGATCAAGAAACGATATCAACTTCCTTGCATATTATTTTCACAGTTTTGGCTGATGTCTTATCAAGGACAGCACACTCAAATGATTGAAGGGAGACCCCTAGAAACTGACAGTACATGAGGAAGATGGATACCAAAAAAGTCCCTCCTGGTTTATCTACAGTCTCTTTTTTTTTTTTTGGCTGACAGTATTTTGTATCAAGCTGCTATGTGTTTCATCTTGGGCATTGTGTGTTGCATGTATGAAATGTGTAGGTTCGTAGTGAAGTGTGGAAATGCACAGCTGTGGATGTACCTGAGCTCTGATGAGGAGCTGGCCTTGATGCACAGACCTTACTTTGCGTCTGAAGCAGAAACAGCTGGTGGAAGGGTTGGAAAAGTAAGTGTGGGAAAAACTTTATCACGTGAAAGCAAGGATGCTAGGAAAAGATGGTGCAGTTCTGGTGTTGCTTCTCTTCCCCATCTGCATATCCTGCTTCAAAAGGCTTACAGCAAAGCTATATAAAGGCACAAAGAAGGGTGGTGAAGATGAATGAAGGTGTGGAATGGCTTCTGTGTGGTTGTGTTCATTAGCACTATTCAGCCTTGAATAAAAGATCTGATAGAAGTCTATGTGATTAAAAAGATGAAAGGTTTACTCTTTCTTCCAAAACAAGAACTAAGGGACATAAAATGGAAGTAGCAGATGCCAGATGTAAAGGAAAAGGAGGAGTAACTAACTTCTTGTCATGGCTCTAGAGGATGCTAGGAGTTTGTGAGCTCAAAAAATTCCAACAAATTCCATAGGAGACAAATATATTTAAGCTCCAAACACAAAGGCAGGAAGCCCCTTAACCACAAATAGCTATTTCTGGAGAGCTTATTTAGAGGAAGCTTCATTTACATAGTTGTCTTCTCTTTGCATCCTTCCCTGGATAACCATTTTTGGATGGTGTTGAGGATGAGCTGCTGGGCTAATGCACCTTTTTGCTTAACTTGGTATGGCCGTTCTTGTAATATAGCTGGCAAGATGGGCATAACTTTAATCAGCAAAAGTGCTTCTTTCAAGTTCTTATTTTCTTAGGATATTGTAATAGATCTTTAAACATACCCACTCTGGATTTTCCATTTAGATGCACTATTGGAAAGAATTGCCTTGTTGCGGTGGAAGAGCAGTATTCATTATCCTTTGAATCTCTGAAGCCAGTATTTTCCTGGTTTTCTCAAGTCAAAGCATAATAGTTGTAAGAAATCTTAATTATTGTAAAATGACTAGTAGTAATCTTTGTCGAGCGTTTAGTCCAATGTTACTTTATTAGTGCATCTGTTGCTATATAAAGGCATGGATGAGCTGTAAAAATTGCTTGTTAATGCAGTGTCCTGGCAATACAAACCTCTGAAGGTGTCCCTTTTTGCACATTTTAATTTACATGCAGTCTTCCTTTTACACCTCAAAAAGGGGTTTAACTGCATCTGTTTGTTCAAAACAAAAAATTGTGTTGTCAGATCTCTCGTAGAGTTACTGGAAGTTATTAATGAAAAGGGTGGGATTGTTATACCCCTTCCGCTTGCTTTAATTAAAGAGGAGTATGGTGGGTCAGGCATCAGTCCCTGCTTCTGTGAATGGTGCATTAATTCTACCCTCTCTTTTGGAAAAGCAACCAAGAAAATAAAGGCATAGGATTTGACTCCAGACACAGCGATGTTTACTCTGGGATAATTTGTGGTCTGCATTTAGTGTGCCTTCTGAAATCAGAAACTAGAAATCGCATCTTTTAAAAGGTATGTTAAATACTGTAGAAAACCTTTGTTAAAGGTCACTTGACATGGCAAGCTTTCCTACCTTATGGACATGCAAAATTTATCAGTCATTGTGGGGTGGGTTTTGGGGTTTTTTTATTTATTCTTTTAGCCTGAGCTGAATTTTTTTGGATAAATTTATAATTTACCAAGCAATCTTTCTACTTGGCAACTAACTCGGGCAAAGAGGAT